AAAGAGGACACTCCACTGGCCGGGCCGGGGCCCTGGCCCTGCCCCTTTCCCAACCCCGGCCCCACCCCAACTCTGCCCATTCCCCGCCCATCCCCCAAAGTCCCCTCCCAGCCACGCGAAAAGGGCTGCCCAAGCGCTATCGGCTTCACAGTTTGCCGGGCAGCCTCCAGACCCTGCGCCACCGGAGCAGAGCAGCTGGAGCCCGGGAAGGGAAGTACCCGGCCGGCGGCTTGGGGTCCGGAGGCACGGGGGCTGCCCAAAGCCAGTAGCGCTGGCTCGGGCAGCTCAGCTCTTAAACAGAGCCGAAGTCTGAGAGGGGAGGAGCAGAGCAGCCGCGGGAGGGGACGTGCCCGTCTGGTATTTTTCCCGGACATGTTCAGCTTTTTGGCAATTCCCCCCGGACGGGGGTTCGATTGCCGAAAAGCCGGACATGTCCGGGAAAAAAACAGACGTATGGTAACCCTACGTGACCGGGGCCGGGGGCGCAGCTCCAGCCCCAGGGGGACGCAAATCCGGACAGGGCTGGGTCCCCGCAACGCACTGGCGTCCACAACCCCCCCGGGGGCGCCCCCCAGCCCTGGCTGGCTGCCGAGCGGCGCCCAGAGACACCCCGCACCCAAAGGACAGGGGCCCGCGCCCCCCTCCCCCGACGGCTTGCTGCCTCACAGGGACAGGTTGGTCACGTCGCAGGGGCTGCTGGGAGTTGTAGTTCTCGGCCGCTCCCCTCTCCCAGCTCTCCCTGGAGCGTGAGGCCCGGCCGGACTACAGCCCCCAGCATGCCCTGGGCAGGAGCTGAGTGTTGCACCAAGATGATTTCACAGTGGGTGACCCACACACACACATTCGGAGATCCTAGCCTCCCTATTTCCCCGGACATGTTCGGCTTTTTGGCAATTCCCCCCAGACGGGGATTTGGGGACCAAAAAGCCGGACATGTCTGGGGAAATCCGGACGTATGGTAACCCTAAAAAAGCGATAAACCCTCCTGCTTCGAAGCACAAACCCCAACCTCTGACTAGGAGGGAGCTCTTGCTTGGGGCAGGTTATCATAACACAGTATGTATTGCCCCTTCCTCTTTGAAGCAGCTGGTACTGACTGCGTGGGGGAGGGTCAGTGAGGGGAGGTAATGAGACTCGGTGAGGGAGGAAGGCTGCTAGCTGCAGGCTGGGAAGGAGGGTCCAGGAGGTTCCCATGTGCTCCCAGCCCCTTTGGGTCCTGCCCTTGGTCCCCAGACCTATCCTGGGCACTGCTGCAGCCTTTCCGAGTCCCCTCTCGCTTCCCAGGCAGGCAGGAGTTTGTGTTGGTGGAGCCTCTGCAGTATTTCCATAGCAGGGGCCCCAGCCCAGTTCTGCTGCTCCTGCTGGCATCTGTATTGCTTTGTGTGAATGTTCCCGTCTCCCCCTTTCCCATGGATGTTTCATTCCCGATCCCAACACCAGAAGCCCAGTCCTCCCCTCTTTTCAGAGCGCACGTCACAGCTGCTCTTCTGTCTGAGAGCACCTCTGACTGTGAAAGCCCCTCCTGTCGCTGCTGCCCCAGTCTGCCCTCCCAGGGGTTCAAGGGCTTCTTGGAGTGTCCCCAGGAAGGAAGTTGGAGGGAGTTGCCCACAGTAAACAATCCAGATTCTTAAACATCCCAACTTCTTCCTGCAAGTGATCTTTCCTGTACATGATTTGTATAATAGAGACAGAAGTGGTGTAAAGGTAGAAGAAGTAGGTCAGTTAACCAAACCAAAACTCCATATTCCCCAAATGAGAAGTGACCCATCCCATAAGCAATTATGTAAGGGGGGGGGATACATTTCTCCCCCCTCCCCCCCCCCTTTACTACCTGTACAAACAGGCATTGCAAATCAAAGACCCAGTCATGTCCTGGAGTGTTTGAAGTGGGTAACAGCCAGAGAAGAGTTAAGATCCTGGGAATTCCCCACCCTCACAGTAGAGCTGTTCGTGAGACCTCTGCAAAAGTAGGAAGAAACAATTTTAAAAATGCATTGCACCTTTGTCTGCTGGTTGATTTAATGTAGGTTTTGCGCTGTTAAAATCTGACTTTTATTTTTTCTGATGAAGCTTCACAAAAGCTGAAAGGCTTTCTTGCAGTGAAGCATGCAAAAAAAAAAAAAAAAAACACCTGCAATTTTTTGACCAGAATGGGGATGCAGGCGCATGTCTCCTGGAGGCAAAGTGGAACTTCTCACTCATCACCCATAGTATGTTAACATCTCACAAGCATTAATGAATCTAGCCTCATGACTCCCCTGTGAGGCAGGGAAGATTGTATTCCGTTGCACATTTTGTTTTTTGGTCTCAGCTGCTGCCTGATTGGGTACTTCTGGTTCCAAATGAGGTGGGTGGTTGACTGGTCAGTTTGTAACTCTGGAAACTCTTGAGGTTCTACTGTTGTAATTAGCTTTGCCATTATTAGATTAAACTGTTTTCCTTGAGGTTTGCTTCTGAGAGTTAAAACTGCAGACCTTGTTTGCGCCGCTGCAGCCACGTAAGAAGAAATGTTTGCAAGGTGTATAGATACAGGATTTAAAGGGAGAAAAGGCTGCAAGGCCCTGGGACGCCTGAACAATGTGGAGGGTCCTTCCGGCTCCAGTGAATAACTGGCCATTACTTGTCTGATTGTATCACAATACTAAGCAGGGATAAATAGCTCTGCTTGCTAGAGTATCTGTGACGTACTTCCTTGGGTAGCACCGATCATCCTTCGGACAAATAAAGTCACTTTTAGCTGAAGTGTTGACTCTGTCCCTTATGAACAGACAGGGATAAAAATTTCCAACACTCAAGACAGGTCCTCAAGGGTGTTTAGGCTCCTAACTTCCATTGACCGTGTCTGAACCAGTCCAAAGGAGAGCCCAGGAGTCCTGATGCCCAGTTGGCTCTGCTCTAACCACTAGACATCACTTCTCTCCCACAGCTGGGAACAGCCTGGGAATCCTAACTCTCGGCTTCCCTGCTGTAACCCCCTCTCCTCCCCAAGTGTGTCTGTGTGTGGGGG